CCCCCCAACACGAACCTAAATTCCTTTTCTTTGCCTGCCTCTTGAAATTTCTTCTTCCTCTACTGTTAGGTACCATCATATAAAGTACTAATACTTACCGCATCTTCCAAGTTGCAATTAGCTCCCTTCTTGAGAAGCTCCTGGACAATTTCTAAATTGCCTTGCTCAGCAGCCAACATGAGTGGAGTCTGGCCGTTCTGAAATCAAAATGACAGGAAAAGTGATGCATTGGGAAGTGATGCAAATGACATACATACGGCAACAATAAGAGGCCAAAAACTACAGAGGAACATTAAGTTGCTTCCAGTTTTTAATTGCCAGTGAGAAGGACTGGTTTTCAAACCATGCAGTAAACTTGCAATAAAAATTGAGAACATGATATTAAACCCTGTCCCACAGGAGATTAAAAAAAACCCAAACCAAACCAAAAAACCAAGCATTTCAGGCATTAAAAATAGCTACCAAAAAAAGTTACAGTGTTAAATATCTATCTTTCTGAATTATTTGACTACTGAAGACATCTCTAACCCAGCCTGTTACATCTTTACATCTTGAAATAACTCAGTCACATTGTTTAGAAATGAATAAATAAATCAATTTAGCCTCGGAAGCACAGTGGCCATTAAAACATGCAAGCTGATTCAGAGTAACAGTAAGATTCCTCGCTGTTCAAAAAAATAGTCAAGTTATATACCACACTTTTCTCTGACAGCATACCAAATACAGGCATCATTCCTGTCCTGTGCAACACAGGTTTTCAACAGATAGCCTTATCTCAGGGAAGATGAAAGATAGAAAGAGCTGGTTTATTTGCCTTCAAGGATGTTTTAAAAGTCAGTTACAAATCTATCACCCTTCCATCAGCCTATTTCTGTGTCAGCAAACTTCTGAGACACAACTGCTCTGCATGATGAAAAGTAAAACTTACTAAATTTGATGGTAAATTTGTTAATTTCAACAAGCTTAACAAACAAAGAGAATTTTTCCTGACCCCTCTTCTGTCTTTTCTCTGTATCATATAGAAAACTCAAATTATCTAGTCTCTAAATAATGCAAAAACTACGTTAGAAGTAACACACCAGCAATTTCCCTGAAAAGAACAGAAATCAATGCAGAATCAGAATACAGTAAGACCACTAATCTTCATTAGTAAAACAGTTAACAGTAAGATTAATAAAGAAATTTGATGAGTTCTTTCTGCTCTTTATGTACCAAAAAAAAAAAAAAAAAAAAAAAAAAATCACAGAAATGCACCAATTCTTTCAAAAAAGCTTTCTGGTCCATCAGCTATTCCCTAACTAGTCTTCATACAACCTTCCCCATGACATTATGGATAACCAACATTATTACTCGTGAGAGGATATAATGTAATATCTAACAGTACAATTTTTCACAGGGAGAAATTATGCTTTCTTGTAAGTTTGTGCTATTATAACTATATGTTGTATACATTCAGAATGATACCTTTGCTTTTAGATCCTAAAGTGTATTTTGCATCAACAAGCAAGTAGTATTTAGGTCTGGTCATTTAAAAAAAAAAATTAAAAAGCTCAAAAAAATCAAGAAGGAGGAAAATACTACTTTCTAGAAAAGAACAGTCCTCTCTGAGGAGAGAACAGTCATAACTTTTGCTCTTTAAGATGAGTTGTTTATATACAAGTTAATTATTTTGGGAATACACGTGCCAAGTGATCTGGGAAATCATGCCCGGCCTATGTGACTGCCTTCTGTGATGACATCATTGGCTCGGTGGATGAAGAGCCAAGACGCTGTTTATCCCATCTCTAGCAAGGATTTAAACACTGTCTCCCACAACATCCACAGAGACAAACTAAAGAAGTATGGACTAGATAAGTGGTGGACTGAAAGGGGCTGAACTGCTGGGCTCAGAGGGTTGTGATAGCGGCATACCATCCAGCTGGAGGCCAGTCACTAGTGCAGGGGTCAATACTGGGTCCTGTTTAACCCCTTCGTTAAGGACCTGGGCAATGGTCCAGAGTGCACTCTCGGCACCTTCGCAGCCAGTACAAAGTTGGGAGGAGCGGCTGATGCACCAGATGGTGTGCTGCCATCCAGAGGGACTTTGACAGGCTGGAGAAATGGGCAGACAGACACCTCACTGTACTGAGTGTGGGTGTCCAGGTTTTGGTGTCGGGGGAGCTGCATGGGGTCTCTGTGAAGAGAGGCTGGGACTGCCCTGTACCAGACACAGCCAATTCTAGCTGGCTCCAACCAACCCACCTCTGGACACAGGACTAGATGATCTCCAGAGGTCCCTTCCAAGCAGTACTTTAGCAATACATACAAAACCCCCTATTTTAGCATGAGCATTCTTCTTACCTCCTTCTGAACAGTTACTATTGTTATCCCTGTGATCATCTTCCACAGCCAGATAACACAAAAGGATAACACAAATTGAACAAAAGTATCTCTGGGCAAGAGGAGGTTGTGGATGGGAAAACAATCCCCTCCTATAAGAGGTCTCATACAGTTGTAGACTGGCTCTGGTATTCTGTCGTGGTTTAATCCCAGCCGAAAACTGAGCCCCACACAGCCGCTCACTCACTCCCCCCGGGTGCGAAGGGGGAGAGAATCAGAAGAGTGAAAGTGAGAAAACTCATGGGTTGAGATAAAGACAGTTTAATAGATAAAGCAAAAGTTGAGCACGCAAGCAAAGCAAAACAAGGAATTCATTCACAGATGTAAAACTTTTCTATAAGGGTACTGAAAATATCCTTCCCTTTTTGCTCGGAGATTCTCAAATATAGGTGCAATGTTTTAGCAAATCATGAAGATTTCACCAACACAGAAACAAAAGATAATTACTACACCTGTGACATCCAGATTAATTCTCAAAAGTTGCCCAAGAGTCTAGACACTCCACAACTACTAAATGTTCATATTTCTCACAAGCACATCAAGTACTGCATATGTGTACACCACAGCTAAGTCTACGTATTGGAATATCCAAATTACAAAGGGGCACACCTGTATCTTTTTAGGGAAATCATTCAGTGGTTGTTACCTTACAGATTAGCATGCTCTCACAGTCTGTGAGAGAACAGAAGATTCAGAATTGAAGATGCAGAAGGTACTTCAGTATCAAGAGCAGAAGTGCAGAAAGAAAGGCACATCAAAGGAAACTGGAGGCTGTTGGGATCAAAGTGCGTCACACAAGGCAAGCATCTACCATCAGCTGTTAAGTAATCAATGTATCTGGTATGAGAGAGGAGAATGCGCACAGGGGAAAGGACATGCAGGGAAAAGGCAGAGAGACTGAGACTTTGCTCCGCTTAGCTGAAACGGCTGATGTTAATCCAACAAAACCATCCACATGCAAACTGACTGGAACATCCCAGTTTTTCTGGCAACTGATCACACTCAGGATATAAAGCGTTGGTAACAGTGTGGGTGATCTTACCATTGGACAAGTCACTGCAGCCTGGGAGGTCCTGGCACTAGCAAACCTTGGCTTGCCAGCAATCTTTTTTAGATGTACTCCACTGGCAGTCCTGTATTCCTGTTTTGGTATTTTGTTTTTACCCAAGAAGAAAGAACGACTTGGCATGTCCAAAACTGGAAACAGAATTGCACTCAGTGCCACTGAATTCCAATTAAGAGCAAGCACTTCCACAAAACTCCCGTCATCGATACACATGAACAGCACCCCCCGACCCTCATGGGTTTAAAACTGATGCAAACCATACATGTCTCCAGAAATTACTTTCTCCAATGCAATGTATCAGAAGACTGAACAAATGAGGTATCAGGGAAATGATCTCTGAAAAAAAGGCAGTTACTGAAACCCAGGAGCGCACTTAGTCCCATCAAGAAAAGAAAAATTTAGAAAAGAAGGTGAAGGCAGTGACACTGTGATAAAGTCAACACAGACTATCTGTCTGATTTCAGCCATGTTGTTGAGAGGAATTACAAGCAGAGGGAACAGACTATTCCTCTTTTCAGATACACAGCATGCCAGGTGGTGAGGTTCATGTGTATGCTCTGAAACTTAAAAATTCTCCCATCTCAAATACCTCAGCGTATATGCATACACAGCACAAAATGAATGCACCAACAATGAAAGAAAACTGTCTTAACTGAAACCAGATTCTGTACATTGTTCTCACATTTGCATGATGCTTTTTAGCTTTGAGTAATATATGCCATTCCACTTCTTTCCAAAAATATTCTTTCCATCTTATGCAGGCTTAAAAAAATAATGCCACAGAACATGCATTTTCCAAGACTTACTTAAAAAGGGAAAGAAAAAAAAAAAAAAAAAGGAGAAAAAGAAGATATCATTGGAAAGCCAGTCTCCCATACACTACAATGTGAGTAAAGTAACTGCCTGGACCGTTAGACTCAATGGGTAGTGGTCAACTGTTCACAGTAACTGGTGCCCAGTTGGGAGAGTCTGATTTGGGGCTAACATTGTAGCATCTTTATCAACACCCAGAACCATGAAACAGAAAGTGCTCTCAGCAAGTTTATGGACTGCCCCAAGCTATGGAGAGCAGCCAATATGCCAGAAGGTGGGGATGCTGTTCAGAGGAAATTCAACAGGCTGGAGAAATGGGCTGACAACCCCCCTGCAGTTCAACAAAGGCAAACGCAGAGACTGGAACAGACTGAGCCCATGCAACACTACTGGCAAGGGACGGCCTGCCTGGGGGGCCGTGCTGCAGAAACGGGCATGGGGTCCCGACGGGCAAGAGGGACACAAGTCAGCAGTGCACCCCTACAGCAACGACAGCAAATCAAATACTGGGCTGCATTAATGAGAGCACAGCTAGCTCTCTACGCAACACTGGTGAGGCTGAATTCAGAACATAATGCCCCATTTTGGGCTCCCGAGAGAGACTCCCAGCCACAGAAAGATCAACAAACTGCAGAGTCCAGCAATGGGGTCACTCAGACGGTTATGAGACTGGAGCATAAGACATGCAAGCAGAAGCTGAGAGCTGGATTTGCTCAGTCTGGAAAACAGAGAGTAAGGGTGCATCAACATCAGTCTTACACTACCTAGACAGAAGAGAAATATTAGAAGAGAGAGGCAGATTCTTCTCAGAGACACACAATAACAAGAGAAGAAGCAGTAGTCACAAGATGCAGCAAAGGATATTCCAATACAACATAAGAAAAATGTTTTTAAACAAAGACTGGTTAAGCACTGGAGCATTGCCCAGAGAAGCTGCAAGTTCTCCACCCTTTTGAGGACTTTCAAATTTTGCTTAATGCCCCGAGCAACTTAATGTAATAATAAAGTTAGTCCTACAATTAGGAGGAGATTGAATCTAATGACCTCTAGAGGCCCCTTCTATCCCAAATTTTTCTACGAATCCGATTCTCTGAATATGCCACATAAGTCAACAAGGTTCCAATTCTACAACACAGTTTAGGAAATCAGAACTAAAATAAAAATTGATGATACAAGCTGTACATAGAGATGAAATAAAAGTCCAGACACTTACAAACCAGAAAATCTACTACAGAGATGAAATAAATTAGTCAAATCATCTAAACTTATTTGTAAAATACACAGAAGACTTAATAGTGCATCAAGATAACCTGAATCTTAAACATCGTGCAAAACAATGTAAACAGTCACTAGCAACAGACATTTGCATGAATCAAACCTCCCAAGAAACTCTCAGGAATCTTTAGTGCAGTATAATGAAACCGCAGCACATTTGCTTAAATCGCTTGTGGTGGTATGTTCAAATCAGACTAAATCAGATGACAAAGCAGAAGCTAACAATTATCACACTATCCCAGGATTCTGAATAATCCACATTTAAACTCCCTACTGTGTATCAAGACTTCCTGCAATCCTGGTAAAGTCATTTAATCCTCCTCATTACATCTAGACTGACTTACCTTTTGGATACATATGTCTTCATCCAGATGAGCATCTGCTCAGATTAAATTGCAATTTATGCTCCTATTTGGATCATATAACAAAGTTTCTCTTGCCTGGAAACCAGGCTGTGGGGGAAGAGTTATCATCATCCCAGGTTTCACCCCAAAATGGACAGGGCAAGAGTGCACATGCAGCTGGATCTGTGAACTAAGAAACAATTCCTAGCCGCAGAAATACAGGTATAATCTCCATTCACAAAGTAAGGATGAAGCTGCATTTTCCAGCTCAGAAGAACGCTCAGAAAACAAATACAATGAAAGAAGCTGAGGTGCTGGCACAGACTGAATACTGTGTGTTCAGTCTGTGCAACAGTAAGCAATCACTTAAAAATAAAATTGAAATTTGTATATTAAATAACCAGCATGATCTCACTAATTATTCATTCCATAACCAATAAACTGCAATATGAAACTGACCCTTCAAAAAAATCATCTTACCTCATTTCTCTCATCTACATCCCTGCATTTCTCAAGAAGTGCTTTCAGAGCAGGAACATTTCCTTCTTCTACGTAGGTCAACAGACTCTGACTCATCAGACTTGCCATCTTCGCACAGTATTTAAAATGCTTCTATAACAAAGCTTATCTGTGTTTCAAGAAGGGGAAAAAAAAAGCAAACTATAAGTAAAGGCTATGAGAGTTAACTCTGACATTACAAAGCATGAACTGTACATGCCAATAAGTTATTGGTTGGGTATGAATACCTACCATCCTTCTCAACAAAATGCTGTTGAGACACATGCATTGAAATGCACTACATTTCCATGAAAAGTCAATCGCTTAATCTTTCTAGTTCTTAGAAAATTGCATAAATAATTCTAATTTTTACGTATTGTCTAAATATGTGTTTTGAATGGCATGCATAGTAGTCTTTCATTTGCATAAATTTTTCTGCATATATAACGTTATAGGAATACTTGCATATGTTACGTACTTTATGTATGCTAGTTATTTACAATATAAACCTTATCTTTTATGTACATAAGCAGAACATTGAGACTATTCAGTATTACAAAATACAGCAATAATATCTAAATTGCAGCCACACAGAACCTGAGAAACACCATTTATTAAATCAGTTATCACCAACTGTATCCTGACATGCCTGCATGTGACGGCATGTTGTTAACTTGCTAGTCAAACTTAACATAGCTTCTGTTGACTGATTATGCGTTTTAACCTCTAATACGTAAGACAGTTTTTCTTGGTTAAGGCAGACTACTAAGAACCGTTCAAGACTTCCTAAAAAGCTGTGGGCCAGTAAGTTCAGAGAACCAGTACTATTACTGTGCCAAATTTATACGCATACAGCTCCAGAAGCTGAATTATTCATTGCACCTAAATTAAGTTTCACTGGATGCAGAACAAGTCGCAGGGCTAAACACAAGACTCCACGCAACCCCCACCACCTTTCTCCTCACCAGCGGATGACATGATTGCTCTCTGGCTTTTTCTTGCATGATAGTAGAGGAAAAAAAACTCCAGTTTAGTGTTAGCTAAAGCTTACTGGTTAGGCTATGCTCTACCAGGCAGAAGCCAAAGACCAGTAGCTTTCTCAGGCAAATGTTCTAACTTTTATTCTCACATAAAAGCAGCCAGTGAATTTTTCTCTACTCCCAACTGAAGTGGAACATTAGCCAAGAGATGAGAGGAAGCCAGCAGGAACTTCACGACACTTCGCACTTACAAGTTAGTTTAGATTTAGAGATTTAAATCAAACAATCTAGCTCCGCTTTAAATTGCTTACATAGACCGTAACAATATCACACCACCCTTTCTCCTTTAGCAAGTAACTATATATAGACAAACACACTGTTATCAGGACACGTTAGACACGACCCGAGCTCACCTACAGCACCACAGCCATCAGATGACCCACGTATATAAATGCCTTGTTCATAAAAATGCCAGCAAAGAAGCCAACACACCCAGTTCAGTTAAGATGACAGCAGCTCTGGGTACATGTCTAGTGACAAAAGAAACTATAAACTACATACATTTTAGGTATGCAAGCCTAAGAACATGAGAGGGAGAAGAGAGGAAAGGAGGAACTGTGACTCCCACTGTTAAATTCAGGCTTAAAATCTTGGTTGCAATTTAAAGGGACAAATTCCAAAGAGGATTTAGGCATCTGAACTCTCCATACTCCAAATGTCCACATACCATGTAAAAATACACAAATTAAATCATATCATTCAGACATTATTTAAAACCAAAATCTAAAATCAGTTAAAAAAAAAAGTCTAGATTTTACATACAAAGCCCAGCAACAGTTTTACTAGGCACTGCACAAATACCCAGTCTCTCCCACAAGAAAGTTATAAATAAACTAAGAACAGAAAAGGTCTGTCATGTTTACCATACAGTTGAAGTACCATCATACAAAGGGGGGTGAGCAGTACAACAGTGGTGTCATATAATTGTCTTTATTTTTTTCAGTAGGAGAAAGAGCTAATTGAGAGGTTGCAAACTTAAAAAAACCTAAACCACACCAAAAATGAAATGATGAAAAGAAACAGCGATTATAGTGAGTCAGTGCCCACACACAGGCTCCTACTGCCATTCCACACACACAAATACCAGAAAAGTCAGCGTCTTGCCTGGCATCCAGCTGCCAGTCCAGAACTGCCCGCCTCCCTTACGGCCTGCTCCAGTACCTTACAGCCCTGTGCAGATGTCTCAGATATTCTGGGGAACCTAAAATGACATTAGATATCCACATGCAGGCACCTGAATTCCTCCCATCATTTTTTATGTATTTCAACAGAAGTCCATGTAACGTGACTTGCCACTAGCTCCACTGCTACCACAGACATTTTCTGATTTCCCGGCTTCTCTCCTGTGGCTGTACCTTAAATCCCCATGCTATTTTCCATACTAGATACTAAATTGAAAATTATATTAAAAGTCATCAGCAAAACATGACTACAATGTCACACCAAGTGAATTATACTCTACAGTTGCTATCAAAATTTCACCAATTAATTCTTAGCTAGTGTGAAAAGGAAAAAAGTATTCAGCATTGCTTCCTCCTCAAAGTAAGATTCTTCCCTTGATGCTCCCTACTGTCATATTTCAAAAAGGCAAAGGCAGCACTGCTGCACTGTAGATAAGTATCCTGCTTCAGAAATCATTACTTGAACTCCAGTTATCGAGACAGCGCAGCTTCTGCCTTAATGTGGATCTGAATCCTTAGAGGCAACTTAGACCTTTGACTAACAGCAAAATACCTGATGCTAAAGAACACATCTAGAGCTGCATTTACAAACTCCACGTTCATATTACTTTTTTAAAATGACAAAAGCTTTGTAGGGGTGAACCATCGCCAAGTATATTAATATTCTTTGTCACCTATACTTTACTGTCATGCAATATCCCCTGCTTAGAATTAATAACAGACTATTTTATAAAAAACAAGAACAACAAAATCAAGTATTATAATTATGAATTTTATATCCTCATGCCTTCATTTGCCCCTTTTCAGGCAAGCTTCTTAGAGCATCCAAAAGATTAACATCACTGGAAGGCTGTAGGAAAGCACTGTTTAGGAAGTCAGTAACAGAAATTTCCATTTAAAATGCAGCCTGAATTCACCAGGTTAATCTAGGCATTAGTATTCTTCTCATTCTTAAATAAACCCAGCAAAATAAAGCAGAAAAAACAAACAAACAAACCAAAACAAAACCACCACCCTGCCAACAAACATTCATAAAAAAGGTTAGTGTTAAGATTTTTGGAAGCTTTATTTTATTCTTTTTTTCCCCCCAAGAACAGTAAACGTGCCTGAAATTAGGCTGAAGTTTGTCCATATTTTCACTCATGAAAGTAAGTCAATATAAATTGAGCACAGACACAGTCCACCTTTTCGTTAAATAAGATTTATATTATTATGTTACAAAAATTAAGCACTGTATTCAAAGTCCATATGGGTGCTGGACACTAAGGTGTGATTTCTTCCACTGCTTAAGATTTCTTTTAAATTATCATAAATGCTTTGAACCAAGATTCTGAGGTACAGCCTCTGGCTAGATAAGGAACTCTATTCCAGCCCCTCCAATGGAAAAAACTCCTGAAATACATATTCATACACTTTTCAAAACAAACAACCCTGGAACAAAAAAAAAACCTCAACAGCTTATCCTTTACCAAAATAAAGGATGAGAACTTAATCCCTGCCAAATTTCATAAATCTAGTGGAAAACCAGTACCATTCAAGAGCATCCAACACACATACGGTCCTTAATTGCTCAATTAACAGCATTTACTTTGTTCTTTGACACAGCAAAAGTATTTCCGTAACCTGTAACAAAACTTTCAATTAAAACCAGGAGACCATGTGGAAATTGATCCCCTTTCCAATAAGAATTAATGCTGTTACTTTTTTTTCCCACCAAAGCAAGCCAATTCCCAGCCCACAAACTAGCTCTTCATTGACAATCCAAACTTCCAAGCTTGGAAATCTCACAATGCCCTCAGGCAGTAAATCCTGGTATTTTATAAAACTAACAACACACCAAGAACTATAAAAAAATACATTAAGAGCACAAACGCTCAGGTGAAGGTAATGTTTGCACAAGGATTAACCTGTTTTTGTAAGGCTCTCGCATCCTGAGCTGAAGCAGACGTTATCACTGTTTTGGAAAGACTGCAAAAATTTGCTGATTTACAAAAGTTTAGTTTCTTTCAACTGCACCAATACTGACTGCAGAGGTCCTGATAACTTAAATCTGCAGATATCTAATGTAGTCTCAGAACCTTGTATTAGTTTCTAACTACATAAAAAAATATCATTACATACTAAATTTTCCAAATATCACAACCTTTTTCATAGCTCTCCCCCATATTTTTATTGTGTGAGCTGTGATAATTTATGAATAAATATCAAAATTGGTCAACAAACACTAGCATTATTGAGAAGACTTTCTTTTTGTTTTGTTTTCAATAGGTAAAGATCGTAGTGACTTACATAAAATTCATACTTTTCATCGTACAATGAAAAAAATTGTTGCCTTCTTTTTAACATTTCTTTCCACTTCCAGATACAAAAGCTACCTTCCCAACATGCAAGACTGTCACAGTTCTTTCCGTTTAACTGTAAAAGGAAATAATTACAGTGCTGCTGAAACCTGGGCATCTACAAATCTGATATGGAAACATGCAGTATTTCGTCCTTAGGAACGGGAAATGCCATCTTTCCAAATAAGAATTCAAAGAAACGTGGAATACATTGTACATATAAAATTTATTACAAAAGACTAACGTAAATCAGTTTCATATTCTCACGCATTTTTATACCTTATGATGGCATAAAAAAATGAAAAACATGTTGGAACATCACCTTTACTCATGCCGCAGAGAATCTTGCTAATACAAGCATTACCCATCCTTTATGACACCTTACTGTAATCACTTGCTAAATAGACATACTTCATAAACATTAAGAGATCACAAGTCAGGCATCACATGAAGCGGTAAATATTTTTAACTATTCTTTCTATACGGACTGAGTCAACCAGGATTCTGTTTAAAGAACAAATTTTCAAAAA